CAGGCCTGAGCAGTGTCATATTCTGTCTCATAAATAAGAGTCGAAGTAGGTCTCTAATTCCTATTCATTTCCCCATTCCGTTCCTAACCCTTTTCCTCAGAGACAACATGATTAACCTTTGGAGAGGCTCTTTTTCTTATGATACTACATACTAGCCTTGTCTTTTAGTAATAGCCTACCTTCTCCTCTATTATGTTGCTGGCAAGGCACTTCCCTATCTGGAGCCTGGTACTAGTTGTCTATGGTTTTTATCTTTGGTTCCAGGAAGGAATGTTTTCAACTCTGATTCAATTTATTCGAGCAGCTGATTACATTCTTTTGATTCTAGGTCTTTCTTTGACAGATGAGTGGGAGGAGTATGGCAATCCATCCCACTACATCTAAGAAAATGGTTTCTAAGTCGTCAAGTGCCGTGGGATATATCGCTAAACTCTATCAGAGTCAAACGGCATTTGTTAAATATATATAGTGTCCAGATATTCATGTATGATGTCAGTAGGAAGGTTACTGAATGTCTTCTACCAGGCTCTGGAAAGAATGTAGTAAAGTGTTTATAATCCAAGAAATTGGTTTAACAATATAAATAAGTATTAGATAGTGAAAGAGTCTCATAGACAAATGCATAGCCATCTCCTCATCTTAAAAATTTGCATAGCTCCTCAAATTAAGTAAAAGTTACTTAGTTTGGCATTTAAGGCTTTTGCTCTGTCCTACCTTTTTTTTTTTTTTTTTTACTATATACTGTATCTCTATGGGAGCATTGTTTAATAGAAATATAATACAACCCACATATGCAATTTTATTTTCTCTTGTAGTCATATATGAAAAGTAAAAATAAATAAATTTAAATAATGTATTTCATTTAACTGAATATATCACAATATTATCATGTTACTATATAATCATTATTTTAAAACTATTAGAAATATTTTAGATTTTTGTACTAAATCTTCAAAACTTGGTGTGTACAGTATGTTGCACTTACAGCATATCTCAATTCACACTAGCCACACTGCAAGTTCTCAAAGCCACGTGTGGCTAGTGCCCACTGTATTCGATATGGCAGGTAATCTGTACCCAGATTTTCTCATGCTTTGTGCACTTGACCTTTGTCTCTTTTGCTTTGTGCTCTGCTATCATGCAGACCTTTTCAATTCAGATAGAAGTGTTTTTTTTTCTCTCTCTCCATATGGCAGATATCACATTTTGCTGTGGCTGTTTATATATTTATATTCTCCCTCCTTTCCCCTACTGCAAGGGACCATCTCATAATTTTACTTGCCTCAGTGTCTTTAAGGCTTTAATGTGGTCACAGTGACAACAACCAACGTTTCCTGAGGGTTTGCCATGTGCCAAGCACTATGCAGTATAGTTTATACACTAACTCATATTCTTATTTTAATTCTCATGACATCCTTAGGATGTAGTTACTCTTAGTGCTGCCATTTTACAGATGGGGAAACTGAAGCTTGGAGAAATTATGGAGTTTTCCCAAGATCATACAGCAGTAGGGCCTAGAACTGAAAAAAAAAAAAAATGCAATCTGACTCCAGACTTATGCTCTTTTATTGTAAATTGGGAAGCATAACACATGAATGGAAAAATGTAAACAATAAATATACAGTCTAACACATTATTGTAGAACTTACAACAGTGTAACCACTACTCATATCAAGAAATAAAAGATTTGCCCAGGCTGGTGTGGCTCAGTGGTTCAACTCCCCGTCCAGGGCTCATACCTGGATTGCTGGTTCGATCCCCGGTTGGGGTTGTGTGGGAAGCAACCAATAGATGTTGTCTGTCTTTCTCTCTCTTTCTCCACCTCTCTCCTTCACTTCCACTCTTTCTAATTATCAATGGAAAAATAATATATCCTAGGTGAGGATGAACAAACAAACAAACAAAAGAAATAAAGATTTGTAGAATTCCAATTCACAGCTTCTTCCCAGTCTCAATCCCCTCCCCTTCTTGGAGGTAGCCATTAACCTTCCTATAGTAACTTTTTCCTTGCTCTTTACTGTTTTAACACCTAACTATGCATTCTTTATTCATGTTTTTGAACTTTATAAAAATGCAATAGCCCTGACTGGGAAGCTTGGTTGGTTAGAGCATTGTCTCCATACACCAAGGTTGTAGGTTTAATCCTGGTCAGGATACATACAAGAAACAACCAATAAATGCATGAATAGGTGGAACAACAAATGGATGTTTCTTTCTCTCTCAGTAAATTAAAAACTTTAAACAATAGGAATAAACATTATTTTTTCAATATTCATCTATATTGTTGCATGTAGTTTGTTCATGTTGTTATATTCTATTATACAACTATCTCACATTTTGCTGGTGATAGAAGACATTGGGTTGTTTACAATTTTTAACTGTGTAACAACAGTACTGCTGTTAACATTCTTGCACATACATCTGGGTGCACATGAGCATGGCTTTCTTAGGGCATATATCTGGAAATCACAGGCTGGATTGTCTACTGGCTCATGTTCAACTTTAGTAGATAAGGCCAAACAATTTTCCAAACTACTCTATTAATTTACTCTCCTTACAGTAAAGTGAAAATTCCCATTGTTCCACTCTTAGTCAATACTTATAATTTTTAGTCTTTTTCATTTTAGTCATTCTGTTGGGTATGTAGTATTCTCTTACTATTGTTTTAATTTACCAGTTTTCATATGAGGTTGATACTTTTTCACCTTTACTGGTTATTTAGATATCTTTCTTAGTGATGTGACTGTTCATTTATTACATTTTTGGTTCTTTATATATTCTGGATATAAGACTTTCCTTGGTTGTATATGCTGTACACTTTTTTTCTAGTTTTATTGAGCTATAATTGACAGAGCTCTGTATAAGTTTAGGGTGTACAGCATAACACTGTAAATTTCTTATCCAACTTCAAGGCTTACTTTAAAACTATTTTAATGGTGTCATTTAATAAAACTAAGTCTTAAATATTAATATAGTTATATCTATCAGTTTTTCTATCATATAGTGCTTTTTGGATTTAAAAGTCTGTCCCCTACCTTTTTTTTGGTACATGCCCCTAGCGGGAACCAAATCCGGGACTCTCTGTCCACAGGCCGACGCTCCAACCGCTGAGCCAAAACGGCCAGGGCGTGTCCCCTACTCCTAAGGTCATAGACATATCTTCTAAGCTTTATTGTTTTTTTTTTCTTTCAATTTTTGTGTATTATCCATCTGGAATTGATTTTTGTGTATGTGAAAAACTCATTTTAACCATTCTTTTTTTTTTTTAATCCTCACCTGAGAACATTTTTCCATTTTTTTGTTCAGATAGAGTGGGAGGGAGATGTGAAAGGGTTACATCAAGTGGCGGCCTCCCGCTCGACCTAACCAGGGCCAAGGACAAACTGCAACCAAGGTATGTGCCCCTAGTGGGAACCGAACCTGGGTCTCTCTGGACCGCAGGCCGCCGCTCTAACCGCTGAGCCAAACTGGCCAGGGCTGAAAACCATTCTTGAGGTATTGCTCTGCATCACCACCGTGACAACATAAATCGAATTTTCACATACAGGTGAGACTTTATTATGTTCCATTGGTATATTTGTCTATCCTTGATCCACTAATACACTGCTTTCATTATTAGGGCTTCATAATAAGGCTTGATATCTGGTAGCACAAGTCTTCCTTCTCCTCCTCTTTCTTTCACTATTCTTCCTCATGAATGGTTGTGTTTGCTCTTCAATAAAATTTTAAATTGGCTTGTTCAGGTTTTCTTTCAGACACACACACACACACACACACAAACCTATTGAGATTTTATCTGGAAATGCACTGGATCTACAGATAAATTTGGGAAGACTTGACATCTTTTAGTACTGAATCTTTTAATTCGTGAACTTATTATTATCTCTTATTTGTTCAGGTCTTCTTCAATGTCTTAAAAAATGTTTTCTTCATACAGGCTTTGCACTTCTTTGATTTATTCCTAGGTATTTTATATTTGTTTTAAGCTATTGAAACTGGTATCTTTTACAAACTAAAATAATTTTTCCTGTTATATAGAAATATTGATTTTTTTACTTTTTTTTTTATTCCTCACCTGTGGACATTTTTTCATCTATTATCAGATAGAGTGGGAGGGGGAGAGAGAGAGAGAAAGAGAGACAGAGAGAAAAATCGATGTGATAGAGCCACATCGACTGGTTGCCTCTCACAGGACCCGACCAGGGCCAGGTACCACCGGGATGGAACCTGCGACTCATTGGTCTGGGGCCGGCGCTCTAACCACTTACAACCGGCCAGGGCTAGAAATATTGATTTTTAAAGAAATAAGATTTCTTAACCTTGTTAAACTTATTAATTGTAACAATTTATCTGTGGAGTCTTTCGGGTTTGCAACATACATAATTTTATCATTTGTGAAGAATAACAATTTTCTTTCTTCCTAGTTCACCTTTTACCTTTCTTGCCTTACCCCACTGGTTAAGGACAGTCAGAGGCAGCAACGGACATTGTAGCACTTTTTTTTTTTTTTTTTAGAAGAATTTATTTATTTATTTTTGTTACAGATGTTTCTCCCCCCACCCCACCCCCGCATTAAATCTATGTCCATTGGTTACGCATATGTGTAGCACACTTTTAATCACTACTAAGTCCTTCTGCCTCACGGACAACAGCTTTGGAATTGTTGGTTCCCTGCCGGAGGTCAGGAGTAAGAAGCCCACACTCCTCTTTCGACGCCTGCAGCGAGGGACGCAGATCACCCTCCGGTAAAGTCCTCTTCCAAGGCGGAAGAAGGAGCGCACCGCCCTCTGGTTGCCGCGCAACGGCGTGGTCTTGACCCGAAGTAGTGCGGCCGGGCTAGAAGCACGTGCCGCCTCTTCCGCGTGCTGGGACTACAATTCCCACAATGCCGCGCGCGGCGGGCGGCTGGGCTCCGAAGCGGGGGAAGGGCCCGGCCGGGCCGGGAGGCGGAGCGGAAGCGGAGTGCGAGGGACGAGAGGAGTAGAATCTCCACAAGCTGGAAACCAACCTTGTCCCTGACTCCCAGTCGCGTCCTTGCTCCATCCCGACCTGGAGGCTGCTTCACTAGCGCGGGACGCCGCTGATGCCCTCTAATCAGCGCCGCCCGGGAGCCCGTTGGCAGCGGCGGCGACGGTGACGAGAAGCCCCCACAGGCAAGGTAATGGGGACGGGGGCGAGAGGGAAGCGGGGGTGGAGGCGCCCCAGCCTGCCCCTCCCGCTCCACTCGCGGAACCCCTGCGGCCGGCGGCCGCCCCCCCTCCGTTGCGCCCCGCCCCCCGCCGCACCCCGGGCGCTGCCGCGGGGCGTCCGCGGAGACCCGGCTTGGGGACCGGCCGGTAGTCCCGGTCGCCGCCGTGGTGGCTCATTGTCCTTGCCCCTCTGGGTCTGACAGCCGCGGCCCCGTGGGCCCGCGGAGAACCAGCGTGGCTCGGGCTGCGTGACCCGAGCGGGGCGGGCTCGGTCCCGTGGCCGCCGGCGCGGGGGAGCGACGGACTTGAGCTGCAGGATGGAGTGCCGGCGCTGCAGCCGCGCTCGCTGCTCTCTCCTTTTGACAGCTCAGCCCTGTTCTACTTTGTCGAGGTAAGAAACGTCCGACCTGTAAGAATCTTCTGAGTTTATTTGAGCGAAATTGAGGATAATTGCCAGGAAGCAAAAATCTCAACAGATTGAGAAAAATGCTCCGGGAAATGGCAGTTTTCACCATTTGTGTTACATATCAGAATCAAAGAGTAAGACGTAAGGGGTCACACGAAATCCACTGGTGATAGATTAGGGAGGTGGGAGAAGGCAAAGCAGGGAAATCTCCGAGACTGGATAAAAAGGAAAGGGGTAGACACCTCTTTTTCGTTGTTGGGTATTGGATAGTTAAAACAATTAATAGATAATTGTGTGTGTGTGTGGGGGAGTTCTGTGGTCTGTGTTCTGATGCAGTGACTGTGCTCCGAGGGCTTTGGCAAAGGAAATTACCTTGTCATTCCAAAGGCATGTTGTAGATGGAGAATGACAATGGACAGGCTCAGTTAAGGGAAAGATTGACTTTTGTCAAGGAAGATACCAAGGACACGACTATCCCCACCACTCGATTTTAGTTAGGAACTTTTCCTTTCAGTCTATCCTATGTAGTTACTCCAGGTCGCTGAGTTTGTAAGGCCCGCCTTGCAGGCCTCCCCTGAGCTTGTTAGGTTTAGTCCGTGGCCCCTTTTTCATCCACAACTTTGAGAAAGTCCAATGCTACCTTTTTACTCCCTCTTCAAAGCTCAACTCCTGGGTGATTAGTAAGGAAGAACTGAAACTGCTTATACTCTTGAAAGTGGTGTTAAGGGTGACTCAGACTTGCCTGAGTTCCAATCCTGATGGAGCCACTGCCTGGCTTTGTGACCTTGGTAATTGAAAGGCTGTAAGCCCGAGTTTTCTCATTAATCAAATGGAGAGAAACTACACACCTTTAAGTTGTTAGGATAAGAAGGAGTATGCTTACACTGCCACTCATTCTTTATTTGACAAAAAAAATATTTTGAATATGATACTTTGATTAGCTATACTGAAGTAGTCTCTGGATTTGTGAGTTCGTGTTTTTCTTTCTTTAATCATTATTACCCTAGGTTGTAAGTGTTCTTCACTTGATGCCTTGTTCACCTTAAACCTAAACAAAGAATTAAAAAAAATATGCTGTGTTAATTTCGGTTGTTTTAAGATGGCTGAGGATGGTCTTAGGAAGTTGATGACTCTGCTTTTCTGTGGATCAGCTTTTGAGATACAAGCAAGGACTTATTCAACCTCCTGCCCTTCCCCCCAGCTTTGTCCTTTGCGGGATCCTTAGAGGAGCTTAAGTGTTTTTGGCAGAGTAAGCATCTAGGTGTTCTGCAATCCTCATGTGGGGCCTCACCATCTTTTCAACCCTGTGTCAACTTTTTTCCTACCTCTTTCTATTCGGTCTCATTAGTTAGTAATTTCCTCTCTTTGGGATTTGTGTTTCCAAGTAGTAGTTTTTGTTCTCAGGACAAGTTGATTGAATGTAATAAATTTTGTAAGGAAATGACTTGAAACATTTCACATTAGTCCTTCTTTAGTTTCTATTGTTCTTGCATTGTTTTCTCCTAAATTTTACTGATATTGATGATGAGTTTTTCTTCAAAGAAATCTTTATGGTCCTTAGTTGAAAATTTTTTTCACTTACAATGTCTGTTTTGTATTACTTTGAGTTCAAATACTACTGTGCAGTGTGTGAAATAGTATGTCCTGAATGGTGCTGCATTTAACTGTACAGTTATAGTGGGGGAAAAACCAGTGGGGTCTGATGATTGTTTTCCATGTAATATCTTTAGTGACAGATGTATTTAAATGTGTTTTTTTTTTTTTTCAGTAGAAAAGAGAACTCTAATGAATGTATTTCATAAGGATAATGGAGAGCCAGAGAGTATAAAAGTGGAAAACTTATTTAAACTGTGGGAGATGGCATATGCACATGAAGATTGCTGATTCATTTAAAAATGTGTGGCAAAAATACTTGTTTTGAAAGAAAATAATGTTTCTATGTTGGTGTTATTTAGAATAGTATAGGACAAAAGGTAATGACTACAGAAATAGGAGACCTTGGTTTTTGTCCCAGCTCTGTCACTGTCTGTGTGACCTTAGGTTCCTCTGTGGTCGTCAGTTTTCTCCTCTCTAAAATAGTGAATTGGTCTGATTCCAGGGACTTTTCTAGCTCAGACGTTCAGTGATAAGGGTTTTTAGACATTCTTTTTAACGTGGGGGAAAAAATAGATGTAAACCTTTTTAGTCATTTATTTGTGTCTTAGGGTTATATTTCCACCTCGAGAAAGGTGATACATATAAAAGATCTAGAAACTGCCACAGTCTCTACTGACCAGTCATCTCTCTCATGAGCTGCATATGCTCCCTCTGAGTTGTTGACATGCTTAGTTCTTTTCTTTTACTCAGAGCCTCAGTTTACCTATTATGCCTGCTTTATAACTCTGGTTTGTCAGTCTCCTAATCCAACTTCATTGTTTCTTTTTGTGAATTCCTTACCTTTTTGCCCCTACTCTCAACATCATGTTTTTCTTAAAGGGCCTCTTTTTGTCCAAGGCCTCAGGTAAAGGTGCCTAGTGCTAGTCTAGTTAGCTGTGGAAGGGCAGGTGGGGTCATGTGGCACAAAATATGACTGGCTGAGGTTGTGGGCAGGTCAAACTCTGTGACTGAACACCTCGTACTGCATAATATATATATATTTTTTTAATTAAAAAAAATTTTTTTTTTTTAGAGAGAAAATGAGAGGGAAAGAGAGATGGAAACATTGATAAGAGAGAACATTGGCCGCCTCCGGCATGTCCCTCACTGGGGATCAGACCCACAACCTGGGCTTGTGTCCTGACCGGGAATTGAACCAGCGACCTATTGGTGCATGGGTCGACGGTCAACCACTGAGCCACACCGGCTGGACCTGCATAATATATTTTAGATTAAGCTTTTACTATGGCATAATGATTCAATAGTTTCCCTTTTGTCTTAACATTTCTGTTCTTCTTTTTCCTCACCCGAGGCAAATTTTTTTTCCATTTTTTGTTCAGATAGAATGGGAGGGAAAGAGAGAGGGAGAAACATCCATGTGAAAGGGACACATTGAGTGGTTGCCACCCACACAACCAAACCAGGGCCAGAGACAAACTGCAACCGAGGTACGTGCCCTTAGCGGGAATTGAACCCGGGTTTCTCTGGACCACAGGCAGATGCTCTAACCGCTGAGCCAAACTGGCCAGTGCTGTTCTTTTTTTTTCTTTTCTTTTTTTTTAATGCTCACTGGAAGATATATAATATATATATATTTTTAATTCTCACCCGAGGACATTTTTCCATTTTTTCATTTTTTGTTCAGATATAGAGAGAAACATCAATGTGAAAGGGACACATTGAGTGGTTGCCACCTGCACGACCCAACCAGGGCCGGGGACAAACTGCAACCGAGGTACGTGCCCTTAGGGGGAACTGAACCCCAGTCTCTCTGGACCGCAGGCCGATGCTCTAACCGCTGTGCCAAACCGGCCAGGGCTGAAAGATATTTTTTCATTGAATTTTAGATAGGGAGGGAGGAAGGGAGGAAGAGAGAGAGATCCATGTGAGAGAGACACATTGATTGGTTGCCTCCTGCATGACCCAGACTCGGGTTGGGGATCGAACCTGCAACCCAAGTATGTACCCTTGACTGGTAATCAAACCCACACCCTTCAGTGCATGGGCCCACACTCTAACTGCTGTCAAACAGGCCAGGGCACATTTTCTGTTCTTTTTTTTTTTTTAATCCTCACCCGAGGATATTTTTTCCATTTTTTTGTACAGATAGAGTGGGAGGGAGAGAGAGAGAGAAACATCGACGTGAAGGGACACATCGAGTGGCTGCCACCCGCACAACCAACCAAGGCTGGGGACAAACTGCAACCAAAGTACGTGCCCTTAGCGGGAACCGAACCCGGGTCTCTCCGGACCGCAGGCCGACGCTCTAACCGCTGAGCCAAACTGGCCAGGGCCACATTTTCTATTCTTAACCCTGACTTACTTTACCCATGTTTTTATATCTTTTTACTCTTCAGTGCTCTAAGTCTTCTCTTCTTTCTCCAAAATATGCCACCTAAAAATGATCTGATATCTTTAGATATGATATTTCTGTATCTCAGCTGGAATTTTAGTGTAGCCTTTCTCAAGGCAATTCACATTTTAAATCTTACACATAATTAGGAGTGAGTGACTGTGTCCTGTGTTAAAATTTCCCCCCAGACGTTAGCCTTAGGCAATATTATGTAAAGAAAGTATTTTAGGAATGGGCCTTTCCCTCTGAAATTACATTCTGAGGTCAATCTGTGGAGGACTTATTTCTGAGTCTTTTTTGGAGAGAATTCCTGAACCTCTGAGCTCTAGTGAACATACTGTGTTCTTTTGTAATAAATATCTGCCTCTCTAGCAGTAAACTTCTTAGAAGACTAACAGGCAGTGATTCTTATAGTACCTTTGGCTGAGTGAGAGGGTCTCTGCTCGCTAGTTGCTGCTCTTGCTGTGGATAGTTACTTTAGCTGTAGCCATAACAGTACTTGAAGCAGAACGCCGAATCAATGCAGAAATGGGATTTGAAGGAGAGGTTTTTAAGGTAGGATTAGCCATCCATGA